TTGTCCGAAAACCAATAGTTTGAGTGTACGTTGGCTTTAGTGAAGCCAACGTCGGCTGTAAGTCAATAATTGTCAGCGATGGTGTTCAAAGGCAACATATCGTCTCTGAAGGCTGGGAAAGTATGAGAAAAATCTGGAAAGAGGCATGTATGATACATACGGCTGCTGAGCGATAGCTATGACTTTCCATGGCAAGCTGCTTTACAGACTGAATATGCATTGATCAAGCACAGGAAGACCAGAGCGTGCCAATAAGTTAAGGTGGATGTTCAATATATTGGGTCTTTGGGGAATCGCCGATATAATCCCGAGTTTACAAGGCTAGGGATTGTGGCAATATAAAAGGCACATAGACTATTATAAGAGTTAGTTATATCTGGTGCTGGCCATGGAAAATGTCAATTCTGCACGTCAATGCCCAGCCGCATCTTTTCATTCGCTAGCCCGCAATATAAGTCGTAGCAGTAAACATCGTTCAAAGTTCCTGCAAACGGTGACCATCGTTGAAGTAATAGATTGGACGATTAGGCCATTGCAGATGTCCGATATAAATAAGTGCATCCACCGGCCATGGCAAACTACTAGTTCCATTGCAGCAAATTAGTGGACAATGGCGCCTCCTCTAAGCCGTGTCAAGCGAGAGCAACTCCGTAAGCGCCGCAACAATCTACTACGACGTCACAATGAATTTTGGCTTCTGTATGGGATGAAAAGCTGGCTCATCATGGAACTGCCTGATGGTCAGATCTTTACATACCACTCCCATCCAGATACCCCTCCGCCCTCAAGGGAAGATATGGTAAGACAAAATTAATATGAACATTCGATGATTTGCCGCTGATTGGTGAAAGAAAACACGGCCCAAGCCCAGTATTATTCGAACGCCTCGCGACTATATTTCTGCGACCTCTGCTCAGTCAGTTGGCAGAGACACCCCGGCCTTCTGCGCCACAGTTCGTCAAACCCAAAAATGGGAAGCTCTGGCGAATCATTTGAACAATAATCGTCGCATGGTCTCGTAGTAATACAAACCGTTTCGTGCCTAGTTAGTTCACTTCGGTGCACAGTGGGATCCGTGGCGCACGTCAAGAAATACCGACCTCAGTACGGTGGTTAAAGCAATGGAACCTGTTCAATATAGAAGCCGGGGTATGACATCTCACTGCATACAACAGGGAGAATCGAGACCAATGTCACCCTTTTATTTCTTTGATTGTTTCTCAAACTCTAAGTCTAGTCACGCCAGGCCTAATGTAGTTAGTCGAACACAATCTGCTCATCGCCCTTTTCCTATTCGGCAGCCCGAATTGGTCTAGGCCAGAAGTAGATTGGAATGGGTCTGGCCAATACTTGGCGACGACCTAAAGAGGACAGTAGGAAGGCTAGTTAGGAGCGGACAAGTAAATTTCAGTTAGTTGTAATACTTGTCTTGTTTCCTATGGCCATATTGAGAGCAGATCATAATTCTAGTAAACTTGAGAATTTTCGGTAATGAGAGGCTCTATTCGGTATATGCAAAGGCCTAACCTATCTATGAGCTGTGATCAGCTGGTTATGGCCACCGATTGATATTGATCTCAACTTGCGCTCTTCTTATTGAGCCTGCTAACCAGGGGATCGAGCGAGGGATAATGGCTCATCTTCTACGACACATTGGAACCGTCACCCTGTGTCCAGTCCCCCGATGCTACCTACGCCTAACGTGCATCCGGCGATGTCGGTAGAGTCGACCGTGTTTCGCGCTTGGATCAAGAGAAACTGCAACATGACATAAGTACTGTAAACGGAACGCTTCAAAAGGGGCTATAATACTTACCGATTCACTAGAAAGGCGATGGCTTCGCCTCACGCTGTGAGTGGGTAGCGAGCCAGGTGTCTGCGTTGCAGAGAATTGTCAGCGCAAGTCTTGCAATACAATTGTGGTTTTGGGGATATATATAACATGAGGGAGAGAGCTACCGACCCCTGTTGAAGTCACAATCTAAACTCGTTGGCCCGCAGCAATTTGATGCTATCGCCTACTCAGAAACATGAGGAATTTTTGAATTCATTCTACCCACTTAAACGGTACCCCAACCTCAGTCAACCAGGTTCTCACATTTAGCAATGATACATATTTAGGGGAATTCAGCAGCTCACAGGCTACATATCGCTTCATTAGTTTAGATCATTATTTATAAAACCCCCAAAGGGCTAAAATTCACAACTTAATCACCTCTATGGTCCCGAAAGATTTGCTACATGAGGGTATGTTTGTCACCAAATTTGACAACCGGCGTGCTTACTAATTAGCTAACCACTTCGGACAGGGGTGATGGAAAGCATAATCTCGCTACCTGGATTTTCGGCTCGCTACTTTCCCTTTTGCGCTCAACACCAGATCCTACAGGTCATACAGCGACAACTCGAAACTCATGCCTTCTGCTTCCTTCAGCGTTGGCTTCCATCGGAGTCTCTCGCAGCCGGATGGACTTGCCCAGAGGCCTTAGAGTTGCACAAATTCTTTCGTCTCTTGGAAGTCCATCAAGGAAAAGTCAAGGACGAATGTTTTCAGTTGACCTGGAGCACGTTGACAGGATGGCGTCGCGTGATTAGTAGCATTCGCCACGCAGCTGTGCACCGCATTCCACACGATCGGAAACCATTCCTTAAGATGGTTCGCGCCGCCATCAAATTTTCGAAATGCATCGCTGGCTTCAAAGGCTCCAAAAGACTTTGTCGCATTCAAAAGTTCGTGAAGACATCGGTTTCAGAGTTCGACCAGCTGACAGCCCAGCTAAAACACAATGCCCGCTTACAAATTTCTTTGGGTGAAGTCCACCCCGATCATTTAGCCCGGCGGTTGATTTTGCTTCCGGAAGCTGTCAGGAGAGTGCTTCAGAGCGTTGAAGACG